AATAGTTTCGTGGTATATTTGCAATTGATTTAAGTGTTGGATACAATCAAGTTTAATAGATTCGTGTTAAATCTAATTAAGTTTAGTGTTAGATCGAGTTTGTGATATAAGTTGATTGAACACATGGTAAACCTCTATTCTGAGTTTTGGTGCATGTTCACTATATGTTGTTTGTTACATTATAGATCTAAGGCTATGGTTATGTTTTTGTGAATAGCATCATAGTAGAAATGCTAGAGTTTTGTGGTAAAAATGCTAAAGTTTTGTTTTTAAGAATGTCAGCCCGATAGATTTTTGAATGTGTCTAAGTGAATGTCTCTATGAATGTGTCAATGATTTATTGGATTAGTTGTGGTGAGATGAGAGTGTGAATTGATTTGTGTTTTAAAGCTTGTTCTTTTTTATGAATGGTAGCATGAGTGAAGAATCAAAACAAGTCATGTTGATTTAGCTTTGAATTGTTTCAAGTAGCTTTGAATTGTTTCAAGTAACTTTGAATTGTTTAAAGTAGAGTCGTGGCCAGTCTTTAGGAAGTTGTTTCTATGTGTAAGATATGACAATTCTAGAGTTTGATTTGATAAGTAATGAGAATACTAGAGTTTTTGAGTTTGAGTTCGTTTTGAGTATGGTTTTGTGACAATTTCAGTTTAGCTTTGATGCTATAATTTATGGTCGTTTTCATGTACATTTTGTGCAATAAAATACTAAAGTTTGTGTTAAGTAATAAGAATGCTAGAGTTTGATTTGTGATAGACAATGCTAGTGTTTGAATTGATAAGTAATGAGAATGCTAGAGTTTTGGTGAAAAGCAGCCTGAGAATACTAAAGTTTGATTTGTTATAGACAATGCTAGAGTTTGCTTTGTGCTAGTTTAGACTGAGAATTGACAGCTCATACTTACATAAATTTGTGATTGTTTGATCTGTGATGTTACAGTTTGTTTTGTGAATAATAGTATGAATTTGTTTTAAGTGTTTTCATGAAAACGTGTTTGATTTGAAC